GGAAGTTCAAAAACAGCCTTTAAACTATTTCCATTGCTAATGGAATCGGAATTAGGCTAGTTCAGGTCCTGTCAATATTATTCCATAGGAGGCAACACCAAACCAAACCTCTTCTAGAAAATGCCAATATCCAGAGATAATTTCAACTGAACACTAATCTTTCAAATGGGCGTATGTGTATGTATTATACATATAGATTAAAAAAAACTATAACTCAAATACAGCTGATTTTGAAGAAATTGTGTCTGAAAAAGAGTTGTAGATTATCCATAATCAATAATCTAATCTAATACAAACGCAGCCAGTACAAGAAAGCATCCAGGAAAATTATTAGGTTATGTCGTTTTCGTTTTTGCGGTGTAGCTATCGGTTGCACCTTTGTTTAGAAACAAATGATAATGAGCTGTCAATTACTCGTGCTTATTGCTGCTTACACTACACAGGTGTAGTGTAGCAAAAACGAAAACGACATTAGATAAGATCTAATAATTTTTCATGTCAACACAATGATGACACACTGATGTCGTCCGTATATGCCACCAGCAGATCAAGTCCGAGATGTTTTTAAGACAGGTGGGCAGGAACTCACGGTCTCCCAGTGTTGGTGAGTTCTTTGCCGTTAATGTTCACGATTAGTTCACTATTTTGCCATAAAGAAATTCAAAACAAAAATTTTTATCTGCGGATTTGAACAGTTTTGACCTGTTTCATACGACCGGAAGGTGTATGCTGGTCACAAATGCCGTGCCAAACTGATTTCCAACGCAATAAATCAATCTTTGATGTGAATTTCGCTAATAAACACGAGGAGCATTTCTTATAGCAAAACTTGCCATAACAAAATGGGCGGTTCATTTTAGTAAACAAACTAACACTTCTTCCGACTGTGTCACCTCTCTTACTCGCCTAGATGGAATGTATTACTCAATCATGTCGTCGTCTTCGTCATCGCGGCGGGGCTTTTTGAGGATCGGTCGCCCTCGACTTCGCCTGCTGCTCGTGGAAGTGTTTGATTCGTCTGTCTCATTGCCGTTCGATTTACTGCGTGGAGGTACACCACCAGGATTTTTGAACAGCTCCACCGAATCCGAACTGATGTCGGTCACCTTGGTGAGCGTTCTCGACGATGCTGGAGGTTGGGGTTTTGTTGTGTGTTGGGGTCTCGCATTCTGGCATAGTACTACCATCTCTGTTGGCGTGGTGAGTAGGCCGGTGTGAGTTTTCTGGTCGAACAGTTCGTTCTCACTTGTCGACGGTGGCAATTCGGGAAAAGTTACCGACGTTACCGGCAGTGTTGCCAGGTCATTTTCAGACAAATCTGGACCAGGTAAAATATAAAATCTGGAAAAATCTGGAATGCCACAAAAATCCTCTTTTTAACATAATGCTATTGAAATCAAAGTTCTGTGCCAATCTCCCGTAAAAATAGGTCAGTATGATCATCTGGAATTTATTTAAAGTACAAGAATGGTTATAAATTACATGTTTAAATAAATTATATAAAGCAAATAACTTGTAAGCATTGCTAAAATCATCCAAAAGTTGAAAAGTATTGACACAGTGTGCCCTAAAAGTTCAAATATCCATAACACAGCATTTCAAAAATTGAGTTAAATACAGCAGAAAATATGGTTAGAATTGTTTTTTTTATTTTTTGATTGTTTTGAAGTAAAATTAACCGAGCTGAAATGGGAATCAAAGCCTAACATCGCGGAACTCACACACAGTTTACCTAAACTATGGGTAACTCCACTCTTCGCATGACCATTACGAATAATTTTATGCCAAAGAATAATTTTTTTCGCCTTTTTTTATTTTTAGTTCAATTTGAATCATCCTCGAATGCAATCATATTTCTTTTCTATATTCCCCTAAAATAATCTTGAAAATATCTAAACTTTTCCAGTAAAATTCTAAGAGTTTTAATCATTACCTCTTGTAATCTCTTATAAATCACTCTCCAATTTCACAACTCCCTCAAACTGGCAAGAATTGACTCAATTTTGTGTCCATTTTTCTCTATGAAATTCTTAAAATATTCTTAACAATTTCCTTGGTACACAATGACTGTCACATTCTTCTCAGACTTATCCGATAATTTCCTTCGAACTGTTTTGTAGGTAAGGTCAGAATTATTCTGAAATCCTTCAAGTACTTTGCCAAAATGGTTTTGAAAGTCTACCAGAAATAGCCCTTAAAATTTTATGAAAATTAATCTCCATAGAAACATTGGACAGAATTCCATTGAAATTATTCTCACGATTCATATCAGCATACCCCTTAAGTTTCATCATAAGAATTTTCTATGATTTCTCTTCCGGATTGTATTTCCTTTATTGACAAAATCTCCATGGAATTTTCAGCAGAGTTGACAAGACAATTGACACCGTCTTCAACCAGAGGTTGCACAGACTGAATATTTAACACTAGACAACGGACAACACACCACACCTATCAGACCAGTAAGGACATTTTCAGGTTGCCAAAATTTGAACCGGCTGGAGCGGGAATCGAACCCTCACTTCGTGGCACTCACAATATGCCTAAATGATGGGTGCGCCGCACGATCCCGAAACCTACAAAACTGGATGTAATTCTACTCAGAATAAGCTTGAAATTCTCATTTGATTTCACAAAGAATTCGCCTTACAGTTAACTGTGAACTATTTTCAGAATTACCTTAAAATTTCAATAATGTCCAACGTTGTTTAAAAAATCTGGGAAAATCTGGAACATATTTAAAAAATCTGGAATTATACGTGGTCTGTCTGTCTATCTGGGAAGGTGACTAAAAATCTGGAAAATCCAGATAAATCTGGAATACTGGCAACGCTGGTTACCGGTGGTGGCGCAGCAGGCTTCGGGCCAGCTGGTTTATTTCGTGGCGGATTCGGGTTCGATGGTTTTCGCAGCTGCTGCTGTGGTCCCGTTTGCTTTGCCACATTAGCGTAGCTCTTCTGGACCAGCAGCTTTTTATTCTGTACACACGAAATACCCGTGTGTGTCAGCTCGTGGCAGTGACGGCACGACAGCAGTTGACCCTTGTAGGCAATGTATGCCTTCACTCCGTCGATAGTGGCCCACGAATCGATATTTCGTTCTACCACCATGCGGACGGACCAGATTCCAAGCGGCACGCTACCGTACTCGTGACCTTCACCAAACATAAGCTTCCGGATTGAAAGCACTTCGCCATACCGACTGAGGAACTCGAGAATCCTCTCTTCCGACACACCTTCGGGAAGATCCCACATGGTAATACGGAGCTTGTATTTTTTTTTCCACTGCATTCCACTTCATGCTTTTCGTCGTGTTCATAGACCACTTGTTGGGCCAAAGCTAGGTCAGCGACCTTGACGAACGCGCATGATTCACCTCTATGGCACTGTAGTCTCTTCACATCTTCCCTCTTCAGACCAAGTACCGTACGTCAAAAAACGTAGGTTTTTTCGTACGATGGCTTCAGAGGGAGATTCGAATAATCAATTCTAGAGGTGTTTTCTCGCCTCATCGCGGAAACACTGCACGCGACGTGGTCCAGCGACACAAGGACAATTGTAAAAAATGCCTGACTCTCTGATAAGCGTAGTTGAAAAAACGTCTACACGTCTCAGAAGCTGAGCGATAACTGCCTATTCATACATAGCAGACCAACACCAGCTTTTCTGGCTCTCTGGATAGTAGGTAGTGATCGAAAGTGTAGCAGACGGTAGTAGCCGAGATCGGAATACATACAGTAGTCAGTTGATCTCCACCCGGTCACCGATCTGGACGTACACACTTTGCTATAGATCGTATCGTTCTTAAAACTAAGTGTTGAAGACGTCTATTCTGTGGAAGAAAGACTCGGTCTGTTTGCCTTCTCCTGGTGCCCACAAGATTGCCGGGTCGGCGGAGTCGCGATTTTCCCGCAAGTGTCCACGAGTTCAGTTCTCGTTTCGAACACTGGGTTTGGCGGTAACGTCATGATTTTCATACCAATTTTTACTGTCAAAATCGAACATTTTTTTTTATCATGGGGAGAATGAACCGGATGATATATGTATTATAAATATTTCTCATTATCCTTTGAAAACGGTCTTAATCTTTTTGCAGGACTTTTGAATATATAAGAAAATCCAGATCTCGTTATAGGTGGATACATTCGGATGTTTTGCTGTTGCACTAGAATTACCTTGTTGGATCACCCTGATGAAGTAAGCATCAAATTCAATCTACCAACGCTTCTAGTTAATCCCCAAATTGTAGTCGTAAAATTTCCACTCACTCCTCCTCGGCACATCTCATCTCGAGAATCAAAGTCAAACTACTGTATCCAATGCGTTGTACATTAAATAGTATCAGACACGAAAAGTAGTTAGCTGCAAAAACTGAAACCCTCTCTGCCTGACGGTCGACCTCAACACCGAACCGGCTACGGTTATAGTTTATCCCTCCAAAAATAACCTTTTTTCCATTTCACCTGACACTGATCCGACATCCTTCCGGTGCCTCCCACCCCCGCCCCTTTCACTAAGTCCGACCAGAAGAGGATGAAAATTCAATTTAATTTCACAGACAACACCGGATCCTGTTCTGCCAGTTACCTACCATCTCCGAGATAAACTCGCACAAGGCTTCTGGGCCCGGCGGTGAGTGAATGTGCATTAAGTTGCTCCTACCCCGAAGAAGAACGCTTTCTATACACACCGACCGTCGGAATCTGTCAGTCTGTGTTGATTACGACGTTTTTCGGAGATTGCTACCAAAGAGCTGCCGGAGGTAGCGAAGTGATTATGTAAAATGGCTTTTAGACCCTTGAGCTACTGTTATCATAAAAACAAGCGTCATCGTCATTCGACAGGGGAAGCGATGGTATCACTTTTCCACCTGACCTGCCGGTTCCAATGAGGACGAACTACCATCGTATCAATCTGTCTCGGTCCGGTCCGAAAGGTAAATGCTAGATGACATGGGTTGCCAGTATAAGGGATGGATGAAAAAAAGGTCATAATACTTACACTCTTGAAGTCGATTAGCTTGGTTATCAGCGTGCCATCGCTTCGCTGGAACTCAAGCGTACACGTATCGTCACTCACGCTGGACGTTATTGTCTCCTGCACTACCTCTCCTCCCTGTCGAAGAAAAAGTAGAAATAGAGATAACTAAAGCATACATTTACGTTCCGGGAAATTCTACTGATGCATTTCGAATTAATGAATTCAAAATCTATTCTGGAGAATCCATTATCCATTCTTTCGTACTGAGCCTTGAAGTCACAAAGGGAATAAAAGAATCATTTACCTCTCCCACTAAACTCCAAAAAGCCAACAATTCACTTCATCACATTTCTCTTCGCACACCGTTAATAGCCTTCCAGCGAAGTCAACCCACCACCACCACCACCACACGAGTGCCCGGAGCCCATTTTCCGGCTTGTTCAATCTGCTATCGATTCGATAAATCTTCCGTTAAACTTGTCGACTCGTCCTTCTTCCAGACTCCAACTCCCGAAAAAAGGCTCACGAAAAGAGATGCACGTATTTTGTACTCACCAACCGAAGATTAGGCAAGTGAGGGGGGGGGCGAGGAAATCCCAGGTGCAAATAAGGATAAATGGATTCCGAACAATAATGGATTGGCGGGGCGAGGAGTGGCAGTGAAAAAATACCGCCAGAAACCGGATGCCATTTTTCTTAGCCATCGAATGCGGATTTTCGTTGACAGAGGAAGTGAGTTCTTTGCTACTTTCGATTAAGCCATTCTCTCGTCGACAAAAAAAAGGATCCCTAAAACGAATAGATTTTGCGTTCTCCGTCTGATGCCGGTTGACTTCGGATCCGGATTTGCCAAATGGGTTCACTTTGAGCGAAAGAGAGGACGGGAGAAGCGTGGCAATTTCAATCAGTGTTACATTTATTTTTCAATTAAAAATCTCCCGCCATTTCCGCTGTCATGGGTTCGATTTTTTTGTTCCCCAATATGTTCGGCAGTTGCAACTCGATAAACGATTCTCGGTCCGTCGTGTTGGGAATGGAATGGATTACGGGGTATCCGATTTTTAAATGGGATTATGGATTGGAAAATGTTCTGCTTTGCGAATTTAATGCTGCAGTTTGGATTGAATCGATTTATTTGGATTTTATACTTGTGCATTATATGTCTATGGAACGTCGAATCGTAATCGTTGTAGAATGTGAAGCTTTTAATGGCGAGTGCATTCGGAGGAGTGATGGTTTGCTTAATTATGTCGAGCTTTAATATTAATGGAATGCATTTGTCGCGCGGGCAAAATTGAAAGCAACATTTAAATTCCAATAATTAATCATAACTGATTATTTCTCATGTACGTTTGGCAGTCCAATTTGATCAAAAGCAGCACTTGATATTAATTTCTGGTAGAGAATTGATTGCACATTGAGCTTTCAGAAAATAAAAATTAACACATAATTTCGAACGAATTTTTAGTAAGAATTGAGTTATTCTCCTGCAAATGACTTCTAAATGTATTAACCTTTCCATGTATACCGTTGGATACGATAAAGAGTCACACATTGTATATATATATATATTGTTCCAGAATCCAAATTCGGCCTACGAGTTACAATTTCGTACAAATACATACAAACGTCATTAGCGGCGCCGGTGGTGTAGGGGTAATCGTTATTTCCTCTCACCCCAAAAGGCCTGAGTTCAATCCCAGTCGGCGCCGCCGGGATGTTCTAAGAATTAACATCTATGATCACGCCTTCCTTCGGATGGGAAGTAAAGCCGTTGGTCCCCGGTTCATGAGTTGATGGGTCGATAGGTAGGGTCCAGGTGTGGGAGCTCCCTTCTGGCATTCGTAGTATTGGTACTCAGTACGGAAAACAAATCAATTGAACCAGCAAATCAATCAACAAATTTGAAATTATCAAAATATTTTCATCTGTGTGCACAGAGCCAAAAGTCTTGAAAAGCAACACAGATAAAAATTCTGAATTTTAATTGTGATGTAAACATTCATTCACGTAGACTTGTATTTCATTTCACGCAACCGAGCAACTTGCAAACAATGTTGTTTACAAAGATGGGCTTTTGTACACAATATTTGCTACATTGCATGAAATGTGTCATTTGCCATTTAAATGATCTTTATTTCTTGTGATTGTGTGGTTTACATGTATGAATTTGTTAAGTGACACAGATGCGTCTTTTCAACTTTGGTACATTTGAGATTTTAATTATTATTTACAGTTCCTAGTCCTATCAGGCCTATTTTAAAGTATGACCACCTTGGTGGGATTGGTTTGATTTGAATTGGAAAAAGGAGACTACTTATAACTACTATTTACAACTACAACTAACCTACAACTACTATATACACCTAACCTACTATATACAAATTGCTTATCAAAGCATGTTCTGATAAATTACATTTTTGTGTAAATTTAGTCTTAATTTCGTTAATTTTGGAATCTATTTTGGCAATGCCTGCCTCTTCATGTAAATTTGTTATTCTAGTGTCGAAAGGACGATCAAGAACCATCCTCAGCACTCTATTCTGAGCTACCTGAATTTTGTTCCTGTGAGTCTGTGCACATGATTCCCACACCGGAGCTGCGTAGAGGATCGCAGGTGCTACGATTTGTTTGTAGACGGCCAGTTTGTTCACCCTTGAGAGGCGGGATCTGCGGCAAATCAGCGGATACAGACTCCTAACCAAGGCGGAACACTTGACTACGGTTTTCTCCACATGCGAGCGGAATAGGAGCTTTTCGTCAAACAACATCCCGAGATAGGTTACTTCGGCGGACCACTCAACCCTTGTGCCATCCATGATTACAGTACAAGAGGGAGTCGGTTTTAGTTTGGGTGATTGTCGATGGAGGAACATGATTGTTTGTGTTTTGGAAGCATTGATTTTGATTTTCCACGTGGTGGCATAATCAGCAAAGGCGTTAAGGCATCGTTGAAGTTTGTTCGTTATTTCGCGAGGCATCCTTCCTTTGACGGCTATTGCGGTATCATCTGCGAACAGGAAAAACACGCAACCGTCACCGAGGGGAGGAATGTCGGAAGTGTAAATGCTGTAAAGCAAGGGTCCCAGCAAACTGCCTTGCGGGACTCCTGCTGGGATGGAAAACGTGTCGGAAAGACAACCATTCAACGATACCTTAAACGACCTTTGCTGGAGGTAGCTACGGGTGATTTTAACCAGATGTAATGGAAAGTTGAAGTTACAAAGCTTGTATACAAGCCCATTGTGCCAGACATTATCAAACGCTTTCTCAACGTCTAACAATGCCATGGCTGTGGACTTGGATACAGCTTTGTTACTTCGGATGTTATTCATCACCCGCACTAGCTGGTGATTGGTGGAGTGCCCCTTTCTGAACCCAAACTGTTCCGGAAGGAGAATGTTATTTTCCTCGACAAACTTGAGCAAACAATTGAGAATGAGTTTCTCGAACAATTTGCTCAGCGCTGAAAGGAGGCTGATTGGTCTGTAGCTTGAAGCTAGCGTTGGGTCCTTCCCGGGTTTGCGGATAGGTATGATTTTCGCTGTCTTCCAGATACTTGGAAAGTAGTGCAGTTCCAAGCATCTGTTGAAGACAGCAGCCAGCAGAGAGTGAACCTTCATGCTGAGATTTTTCAACACTAGGTTGAATATTCCGTCAAACCCGGGGGCCTTCATGTTTTTGGTGCATTTCAGCGCTGAGCAAATCTGTTCCACTGTGATTCTATCCTCCGGAGGGATGGCACAAGGGGAGGAATCAAGGTTGAGTACGCATTGCTCAACCTGAACTTCGAGCGGACTTTGGATGTTGGAGCCAAGCAAGTGCGATTTGGCAATATGCTCACCAATCGCATTTGCTTTCTCCTGAGGGGTGATTATGAGCCGATCGTCATCATTTTCATCTTTTAGTGGCGGAATGGGTTTAGGGTGCGTCTTTAAGACCTTGGCAACTTTCCAGAATGGTCTGGAGCGGTCGTCCAGATTCTGGACAAGCCGCCCGAAACTTTCGTTCCGGAGTGAGACCATTCTGGAAGCAATCTCCTTGTTCAGATTGGCCATTTCACGTTTCCTCGCTAGATCTCCAGTCCTCTGAAACTGGCGTCTACGAACATTTCTCAGGCGAATTAAGAGTTGGGTGTGGGAATCAATAGCAATAAACTTACCCCTCACAGGAACTCGTCGGACGCACGCCTCGTCAGCCACGGTTATGGCTTGGTGGAGTACTTCCAACGCTCGGTCGATGTCCTCCACGGAGTCAAGCGGCGGGTTGTCGATGATGTGCCTGTCTACCACGCGTCCAAACTGGGCCCAGTTAACGCGATGGTAGTCCTTGCGCAGGCTTGAAGCAGGAGCCACGTTGCAGCCCAGTTCAGCCACCACCGGTTGATGGTCGGAGCTGAGTTCGTTTAAGGCTACCGGCTTGGACAAGCCGGTATTTGAAAGAAACAGGTCTAGCGTCGATGGGTTGCCTGCCGGTGAGATGAATGTTGGCTCGTCCGAGAACCAAACGGAGTACAGCCCATGCTGCGAATGGTCGAACAGCAGACGACCGTTCTGGTTCTGCTGGTAGTTCCGCCATGCCTCATGACGAGCATTCAGATCTCCTCCAACAACGAAGCGGGAACCGGTACGGGTGATGGTGGACAGGTCCTTCTTAAATTTAGCCGCTAGTCCACTGCTGGCGGCACACTGTCGAGGGCAGTAGACGGCGATGAACTGGACGTATCCAGTCGACGACTCCACCTCCACACCAAGGGCCTCGATGATAGAGGTGCGAATATGGAACAGAGTGTGGTATTTTATTCCTTTCTTGACGACGACCGCAACACCACCCCCCCTGGAGCTGGTGCGATCAAGCCGGATAATGTTGTGGTCAGGCAACCAGAAGCTGTCGCCGGACTTTAGATGGGTCTCGGTTAGAAGGCCCACGTCGATGCTGTGCTTGCGGAGGAAGTCGGCAAGCTCAATCTCTTTTGCTCTTACAGAGCAAGCATTCCAGGTGACGATAGTTAGCGGTTTAGACGCCATACTGGATGATGAACTTACCGAGCACCTGGATCTGTTCGGGCTTATTGCGGCACTTACGAAGAGCACCGGACATGTTGACGAAAATTTCCATCAGTTCATCCGCTGAGA